TCTAAGATTGTTTCAGATACTATGTATATGCAAAGCACCCTTTTCTATATGAGCCTCATGCTAACCATTTAAACACCATTTAAATTTGCTGTACACACCCAACACCTCAAAGACCTAACAGATATCTGCTAGATCTTCTAGCTCAAGAAGTAACTTAGATACATGCGCTTATGTGGAAAATATTAAATTCCCTTCTATAAGGAGAAGCTGCAAGATAAGATTCCTCAATTATTCATTTATTACATTATATCAAAGAATGGTAACAATCTATTGTTAAGTGTATGGGCATCTTTTGTTTAACCATTCTGTCAGCATAAATTCTCATTTTATAAGGAACAGAGTAATAACTGACTTTACAGAGTTGTTATAATGATTACTGGAATAGTATGTGGAACACTTTTATTATTGGTGATGTGTAGGAAACATTCAACAGGAGCTAAGGGATGGTCTCCTTTAGTGAAGGAAACTAATGTGTCACATATCTTCCTTTAAATTTGGGGGAGCTACAGTCTGAACACTGAAAAAAGGTTGTAAAAATAGCTTGCATAAATGTAATCTGTAAGTGGCAGCAAAATAAAACCTGCAACACAACACCACTACGCCCATTCCTGAAGTTAGATGTATCTCCTGAAAGATACAGATAAAACCCTCTTGCTATGGATAACCCTAGAATAGGTTGCCCTAAACTCTACTCAGCATCCCACCAGCCAGTGGGATATTACCACTCCCACTACAGTAGATTCATAACAATAATTCATGTGCAAACACACCTTACACTGCTATCATTGACATTACATGCTCATTCTCTTTTCAAGATAATACGTAGCAGGAACTTAAGGCGTGAGTGAACAATATGAAAGTTGAGAAATCTTGATGAGAAAAAAAGGTGGAATTTAAATGAAGTTTGATGAGTCAGTGGCAGATTAAATTGTCAACGTCAAGAATTCCTGCACCGACTCAGTAGTGACATCTGAGCTGCTGGAAGGCAGGGTTATAAAATACTTCTTATTCAAAATTATCAATCTCTTATTTCAGCATCATCATCTCACAGATGATAATAACGTGTGTTTGCTTTATATGCCATGCAAAAAGCGTAACAAAAGTCGGAAACCAAATCTTAAAGTGGGAAAGGGCGAGACCTGGCAATCTGCAGGAAAGTAAAAAGAACTGATTTAATTGGTGAATTAGGGTGGCGATGGAGATTACGAGACCCTACAGCAATTCTGACTCCGGGAAACAGCCCCAGCTTTTTCTCACAACATCCCTCTCCCGAAACGCTTCCCCGGAGATTCCACCCACTGTGTTCACCACCCCCTAAGTAAATGCCCCGCCAATACCTCGGCATTCCCCTCTCCCACATTAAGACCAGCACTCCCGAACTGCAGCCGTCCCCTATAGTCCCTATAGCGGAACGGAGCCAACCCTAGCCTAGTTTCGGACATCGCGCGCTACAATCCGGCCTCTCACCCTCCATCATCTCTTGAGCGCCCTCCCCACTCTCTGTCTCTGCTGTCGTCGTTGTCGTCGTCGCCGTCGCCATAACGCTTCGCGCTCCCTCCTCCTTCCGGCATCGGACATGGCACAAGAATAGCCAATGAATGACGGGATCGGGACCTCTTCCAGCCAATCATAGAATCAGCTTCTCCGCAGAGGTTCCGATGGGACATCATGCGCCTGCGCCTAGCCCCGTGGCCTCCTGGGAACTATAGTTTTTCTCAGAGACGTTGTTAACTTGCCAAGGAAACGAGCAGAAGAATCTCAGGAAAGCTGTGTGGGTCATGAAAATAGAACGATAGAGGGAAAAGGCTGTATCTTTTTGTGTCATTGGTTCATCCTTGGACTGCTTTAGTGGAAAGCTGCTGCTTGCTTTTACTATGCCAGATAATTGGGTTCTGATGGATAGTCTATTTTTATTGTCCACTACGGATGCATCCTTTTAAAAAATACTCTTTTTGCAATATTTTCCTTTCTAAATGTTTGTCATTTAAATATATTTGAAGAATCTTGTTGTATCCAATGGAAGATCTAGCCTCATGCTTCCACGCAATCCTCTTCAAAACACAGGAAAATAGACCTTTGTGACTGCTGTTCCCCAGCAACTAACATATTCTGAGGCATAAAAAAAGCAAGTACCTCATGCAGTACATGATTAATTAATGTCATTCATCATTGCTATAGCGATAGCTATTGATTTTAATGCCCCAGATATTATGATGGCAGAAAAAAAACATATAAATTTTATCTAAACAATGTACTGTAACATTTTATAAATCGGTTACATCAATCTTTTTGAAAAAGTTAAAATAAGTTATTCTACCTCCTTCTTGTTAATACTTAATATTTAGTTTTTCAAAATTGACAATGACATTTGTCATTTGCTTTTTTTTTTTTTTTTTTTTTTTTTTTTT